TGGAAAATAAAAAATAATTATGAAACATTAATACAGGAAGAAGTTTCCTTTTTTGCTCCACAATAGTTGACCTTAAAAAAAAAAAAATTATTCTTATTCCTGCATGTCAAGGAAAATTGCATAGTTTCTTATGACTTAGTGTTTAAAAAGGAGAAAAGAAAGGAAAAAACAAACAAATTTTCAAACCTACCAAAACTGAAGAAAAAAGACAAAATCTTACACATAGGATGACTATTCCTAAATATAATCATAGCAAAAAAAAAAATGGTTCTTAGTAGTTACCATCTTTTCATATACACATTAATTTTTCTCTCCACTAGTTAGAAGGGAATTACAGTGAAAGATTTTGATCCACCAATAGGAGCTGTTCCAGGCTATGGGAATCAGTTGCTTAGCTTTTTATTTACCATGTGAACATTAAGTTCATGGTGCAAGCTATTGATAATATGATCTGAATAATCATCAGATACTAACCCAAAAACAGCTACCTCAAAGGCTCACAGAGTAGGTAGTCATTTGGTATGAGAGATCCTAGCCAGGCATGCATTCTAAGAGCCTGGTACCCAAATCTAGCAATTTGTATTCTTACACTAGGTTCATGAGAACTGATAATCTTAGTTTGCTACACGAATAAGTTGTATGTTACACACAATTGGCCAAATAAAAAGGTCTGAACTTCAGATTTGTTTAAGCTTGTATCAAAACAGAAAGTAAAATAACAAAATTTGTATTAAAAATTGCTCATAAACAGATACAAGATTTAAAAAATAAAGAAGTGTATAATTCTTAAAGCAAAACATTCCAATTAATTTTGCCCGACCAAATTTATTCTGTAACAGATACTGAAACTTGTATCAGAACTTCCATAATACACTTCCATCTTGCAGTCTGTATTTCCCATACTCCTATTATTTTTGTGTGCAAGGCCTTTCAGCAATCAAGCTAGATGGAAAATTTTAAAGATATAATGGAAGGTATTGAATAGACATTTTCAAGAGGAATAAAAATAGAATAAAATCATAGGCTAACCTCTAACATTTTCTGTAGGGTTTTATGAAAGATTAGAAGTCCATAATATCAAAACAACATGCTGACAACCTGAAATATTTAATTATTGACAACTCTGTTCAACTGAAAAAATTAGGTGTTATTTTTGGTAAAAAATGTCTTCCTGTGTGAAATAGTGAGGATTTTGAAAGCGTATTTTTTCATCAAACTGTACTTTGATGGAAAATTCCCAGCCAGATTGAGATCCTTTTGTCAGCACCTCCACCCACGCCTGTATAAATATTGAGTTACTTGTTTGTCTTGTAATACTTTAACCCCAAAAGAGAAGGAAACCTGCATAGTAAGCTACACACTAGTTACTTCATTAGGATCTTAGATATCTGTTTTGTTTTAAAAGCCCAATATAGGAACCATTGTCCAGTAGTGAACAACAAACACATGGAAAGTTGCTACCTGAACCCCTACAACTTCAATTTATCTGGGCTACAAAATTATACCTGCATTAAAAAAAAAAAAAAAAGTGGAAAGAAAAAAAAAAGTAAAAAAGAAAAGAAGCAACATGGATCATGAAGAAAAATATATGACAGGTTATGCAGAGAGAAAGGATAAATACTTGAAATATTTTAATGTCTTTACCTTTTTTTTGGAAGGACTTATTTGTTTTTATGTTTTGTGCTGGGTTTTAATTTTTTTTTTTTTAATGAAAACATTAATGTTTTCAGGCAAATGTTTTTTAGTCCTCTGGAAAAAGGTACTCCTCCTGTAATCGTCAAAAACTAGAAATTTCATATTGTTCTAACATTCCACTGATTCAGTTGAAAATCTGATCCTAGTTAAGTGGCAAATTAAGCTGAGGAAACAATAAATGCTGAGTGTACATCGAATATTACTCAGAGAATGGAGCAAACAAACTTAAAAAGCACTTGTTTTTTAGATATAGTGATTATATAGTAATACTTCTTTTAGTAGGAGATTTTAAACAGTCAAAATCTGTTTGCATCAAATGGATTCTGACCTGACAAAATCAGTTACATTGGGAGAATCACCTTGTTTCAAGTGCTGCTTCATAATTCAAAAGATACAAAGTAGAATTTTATGTAAAAATATATTTAGTTTGAAAAGTACATTACTCTTATACTGCATAACAATTTGGCCTTCTGGCAAATAGAATATGTTAAGAAAGTACTGTTCAAACCTGGAAGATCTTTTGAAAACTAAGATTATTGTTACCTTAGAAATGTGTGAAGAATTACACCAGTGATTAACAAGGTTAATAAATTCAACTAGTACAAAAATGTATCACTCTTCAAGAGTTTCAAATAGTTTCAGCATTTTATTTAGAAATTTGAAATCATGTTATGTACAAAAAATGCTTTTAATAATAAACTTAGGCAACCACAGTTCACCATCACCATCTGACCACCTTCAGAGAAGTAATGTTTAATTTGATGCAGCATTCATGTTAATGCATCTCTGATTCTCACACAAGTTAGCTGAAAAGCTTTAATTTCATTTATTTGGTGAGTATTGCCTTTTTTCCTTAACTTCATATTCATGAGGCCAATGTTTAGAAGAGAAAGACTATAGACTACTTTACCCTAAAAAATCTTTTGCAGAATCATATTAGAGCTATATATATTTTGCTTGGAAGGGACCTCTGGAGGCTGTCTAATCCAGCCTCCTGCTTCAAGCAGAACTTTTGCTTCCTCTAGACCAACTATGACTATGTACAGCAAAGACTTTAAAATCTCTTGGCCACTGAGTTTCCACAAATACTTTAGATACCGTATCTCAGTGTTGCACTACCTCTCATAGTGAAGAAGGTTTTCTTATTATCCAAATGTCTTTTAGGTGTTTATTATTCAAATCTACCTTTACAGCATACATTGTGATCTTCTTAACGTACTTAATTGTCAGAGAAAAGATAAGAAGGGAAAGAAATGGAAGAAACAGATATATATCTTTCACTTTTTCAGGAGACCGTGTCATGGGAATCTTCAGAATAATTTTTGTGACCTACTTTTGTTAACATATGGTCAGGTCTTACAGTAAAGAAAAGTCACTGGTCTTGACTGAAACAACACCCCAGTGCATTTGCAAGTGCTTTTTATATATATATATCTGTGCAGACAAAATTGTAGATTTCTAAGATGTTGTTGCATAACTCCATATCCAAAAGTATATAGCTCCTTAGCTTTAATGGCCCTTGAATCAAGACATTAATACCAAAAATCTGGGGCCATTGTTTCCTTTACAAGATTACTTTAATACAGAAAATAATAAAGCTTCTGTGTATTCTGCAGTCTTTTTTAATGAATAAAAATAGTCATGGAATCTGAGCCTACAAGAAGTCCAACTTCAAATGACATTTCAGCACTTAGAGCCTGTAATAAACGATTACTTTAGAATCCATAAGACATGATTCAGCCTTCATAATATCATGTATGGCATCATGAAGATAGTTATCCTCAGCACATTTCCCTTCAGGAAATCTGAATGCATGAGTTGTCAATAGACAGAAATGCCACCTCCCATCCATCTCTCCTGAAGTAATATATTACTTACAGACACCTACATAATACATGAGGCAGTTAAAATCTCCAAATATTAATCTTCCTTTCTTTATTAACTCATAGTAATACTCACCTTTTGTGAAGAGTGGCATCTAGATTCTACATTTTTGATTTAGTAATGTTTTACATTCAGCTTTAAGTCATGTGCTGTGGAACACCGAACACCTTGGGCCAAATGAAAGAAACAATCTCTCTTTAACTGTTGCTCAAGAACCTTTCCTCTGTAAAGCATGACAGAAGTTTCTTGCTGTCCTCCAGTCCAAAAACCCAGAGTGTCTGGATTCCTATAAACTAGCCCAGAATTGGCAGCTTGTAATCTTCCATCTTATCAAGTTTCATAAAAAATTCAGATATCTCTAGGGTCTAATTTAGCAGATATATTCAAAGGATATTTGACACACAAGGTCTTTTTAAAAGTGCGATGGCAACAACCTCCCACTTGAAAATGAACATGATTGCATAGACTACTACTTAAGCCAAACCTTTCTGGTTTACACGTCATATGAACTGTATGAATATATTCTGCCACAGGGATAGGAATCCATAATATTCTATTCCCCAAGCAAGGTTTATAATGAAGACACAAAATAATTCATCTTATTTGATCTCACTGCCCAAGAAATGTGCTTCCTTTTTTTTGGTTTTGTTTTGGTTTGCTTTTGTGTTTGTTTTTATTATTTTTTTTTTCAAAATACACACAGTTTCATCAGGGAAAACTGAGAGGAAGTAGCAGATTACATTTGAAAGTATTATATTGTTGATGTCTTAAAATAGAACCATTTAATATGTATTTAACCCAAATATGTGTCATTATAGAAGTGTTATGTTGGCTTAGGATTTTGAAAAATGCAAAAATGCTGAGATGCCTCTTAATTTGAAACTAAAAATAGAAATAGTTTTTATGAACTGATAAAATAAATTTCATAATTTATTTTAAAGTGCAAGTTTATGCTAGCATTCCATAGGATTTCTTCATATATAAAAGGTTTCAGACCTCTTTCAATTTGAAAAATTATTTATCTCTTCTTCTGTACTTTATTTCATAAATAATCATAAATGGAAGAATTTGAAAAATTCTTAACTTGTAAAAAAATTATCTGAAAATGAAATAATGTGGATGAAGTGTTCTACAAAAACAAACAGCAGAAGTTACAATAAATAACATTTCTCCTTGAAATATGAAATCATATTGGTTTTTCTTTTCTGCATTCTACCACTCCAGAGCATAAACTAAAAGTAATAATAGAGCAAAAGTAGTCCTACCAGTGCTAATAGAAGAAACATACTGTGAATGTTTTGAAGGTAATGTCACAGAACATGAAGCTTTGGTAAATGTTTTATGAAATGTGCTGTGCATATGTACTCACACTCCATCTTGGTGAAGCTGAATAAATAACATACAAAATTCTTCAGCACATCCTGCTTTCATAGAGCTGAACAGCATCTGGCCTTTTATTTTATTCCTCAAGGTTAACTGCTTTCCATTAGACTGTGGCTCTTTAGAATTTGTCAAAAAAACAAAGCTGACTGTTAGGAGATGTGCAAGAAAGAAAACACCATGCTTTATCTTTTCAGTATGGCAATTATCTTCCCCATATTGGTTCCAGCTACAGTTCACTTGTGTTTCAAGGAACAAAAACATTTCATAGTAGCTCCTCAAACATCAATAATATCATAAGCTTCAGAAAATAATAAAAAAAAAAGACAGTCTTTTGACTTATGATACAAGATCATCTTTCCTGTCTCACATCCCAGAGGGTGCACCGATCACCAAGTCTCAGAGGAACTGATTACTGAAGGCAATACATACACTGCAAAATACATACACTTCTCCAAGGAATAATTTCAATTTCAGCAGTAGGTTATGACGTCAGAGGGCTGTCTATGGATGAGCCCCCAGTTCATTAATAGAAATGCAGGTGTTCTGTGTTAGGGAGCACAGGATAAGGCAAATGTGCCAGTCTTAGCAAAACTTCTCAGTTGATCTTTTGAATTGAGGCAAGTGTTTGATTGGGTTTTTTTAATCTCATGACGATTTCAGTATTCCTATATGAAACTTGCAGATTGTTTCGGTGCAGCTGATAAAGTATATTGTTGTAGGCAATGGCATCCTCAGACTGATAATCTAGAATCCATTCTGATGATGACTTTGAGATTCCATCTCCATTTTCCCCTTGCCACTATTATTTTATCCTGTGAAATAATGTCTTATTATTGATAAATACCCTTTCTTATCAACACAGAAATCGTACTTTTTAAGATGATTTCCCATCCTGGTCAAACTTTTTTTTCAGTTTAGCGTACTACAAAACTAGTAATGTCTATGTAGGTAAGTGGAACATGGCATACATATTCTGTTTGGGATCAAACAAGCAACATTTTGGTCACGCAAAGAGAGGCAAAACCTGAACCTCAGATTGCAATCAGAGAAACAATGACTGTGTGCTAAAAGGTTTTGGCTTCCAATTTGCTAGGTTTGACACATCACTGCCAATAAATATGAACTAATTTTAAGTCTAAAATATAAATACAGAAAGGTTGATCTGTCATTCTAATAGATAAAAATCTGTAAAAATATTAGACCATTTCTCAATAAGCAAATACCTTAATTGATGTGTGCATTTAGAGGTTTTGTTGGATAGGGATTTTGGGGTGTGATGTTGGGGTTTATTTCTGTTCAGAAGCTTGGAGAGACATCACTTGCAGACAATATAAACATGTATCAGTACTAAAACTCTGTATGAAAATTAACTGTAGCAGGAAGAAAAAGAAAGAGAAATACATTTGTGTTTACAAATTTGATAAAAACAACTTAAAAAAAGGAAGTGCAATAAATTGTTTTAATATGTTTATTTAGGAAACGGGCCTGTAGTGTTACTTAATATATTTTCTTCACTGAATTGTGCGGTGAAAAATGGTAGTGTTGGTTACCTCGAGGTGCCCTAGCAACAATAACATAGCTGCCACTTACAGCAGTGTGCTTGACGAAGCACTGTTCTCGCACTCAATTAAACTATCATGTTGACAGGAGAAAAATGGATCCACTTTGTTGCAGACTGTCAAACATGCTTTGCCTTCCAACCTCCATTATTCTATCTAAGTAAAATGTATCAAACCACTTAACTGTACCTGTCACTGGGAGGGGAAAAAAATAAAATTAAAAAAAAAAGGTGTATGGTTTTCACAAGGAAAGTTCTGAATACCTTTCCCAACTTTCTGCAAACATTAGTAATATTATGTACAAATTTCTAATTTTTATCATGAAAAAGTGTCAAGGAACTTTCAGAAAGAGATATTCCATCCTTCTTTCTTATGTGAGGCCTTTCTTATATCAATTTTATTTTTGTCAGCAGATAACTGATTTTCTTCCACTGAAGAATAATCATATAAGCTCAGATTTTTGTCCTTTTTTCTTATTGCAATATAAAGTTTCCTCATAGCTAGAAAAATCACTGTATGAATGTAAGGCTATGTGCAGACTCTTCTCTCCTCGTTATACAAACGCTCATTACATGGCAGTCCACTAGGGACTGATGGTAGGAAAGTGGACAGAGAGCCACATTCTAGTGATTCCTGAATACTGCCAAACCACTTGTGGTGTTACAGACTGCCACAGAGCACAGTTGCCCTTATGTGATGAAAGGCATGAAATTCCCTGCTGAAGGAAAGCTGAACGGTAAAGGTCTCTTTAATCCTACTGAGCGATGCTCTGATACAGCTGTGTAACGGACTTGCTTTGACATTAATTTAGCTCACTCTTCTTTCTGATGCTTTAAGACTGCAACAAAGAAGAATGTTTTGCCACACAGTTGTCCTCAACACTCTGCCAAGTAACTGTTAGCAGCTAAGCAAAGTGACATCTGTGCATGTGGCAATTGTCTTTAGTCTGAAGCTATTTCTCTTAAATCTAAGCCTGAGGGCTTGAATCATCATTTCCCTGCATCTTGCCAATTGTAGGGTGTTATTTTTGCACCCATTTTTTGTTTGGAAATAACTACTGAAATGAAAGACACTGAAAAAATAAACTCCGTTATCAAGTAGCATTTATACTTTTATTCTTTTTTTTTCCTCTACACTAATTTGAGATCTCTGGGAATTTGAAAAAGTGCAATTTAATGGGTCTTATTCAGTATTCAAGGCTTTCTAGTATTACCACCACTGAATAAATTCAATTATTCATTCTATCCTAAATATGAAAAATAACAAATTTATTTGGAATTTTTTCTGCTCTGTGAAACTAATTTACTTAAATAGAGACATCTAGTGTCATTTGGATGCTCTAAGCCATCCCACCTGGGCTCCAACTGCTCATCCAGATCCAAATATGGGTTTCCATAGGTTCTATGTCAGGTCTGTAAATTCAAGTACATCTAAAATAACACTAGATAACTAAGTTAATGCAAATTTATTGTAGCTGCATTTTCCCTTGTCTCACCCTTACCTGCACAGGTAATACTTAGCATTGTCTCTACTTGTCCGGAATAAAGATAACAATGAAACGAACATGTGACCACCACATTTTCTCTTCCTAATCCTGCAATATAGACAGGCTTTCTGAATAACTTATTCTCATATATAGAAAGAGGAAATAATACTTATTCTCTAATAACTGAAATTTTGGTTTTTGTAAACCAAGAGACAACATATAGTCAGATCCTCAAATTGTAGAAATTAGCATAGCACCATGAAAGTTGTTATATCTTGCAAATTTGAAAGAACTGAGAATCTGACTTCCATTTGTCATGTAGGAAATTTGTCTGTCAGAAATTTATGTACAAAGACTATGAAGTACTCACATTCATATATACAAACAGGTAAGACATGAACAGTAATATGAAATAAAGGATATATCTTTTTACTTTATCAAGACTGTAATGCTAAATTTAGCATACATATGTAGACATGTAGTAATAAAGCTGATCTTTCACTTTACAATTAGGAATTAGAAAAAAGAATCATGCATAGTCATTTTACAAAAGATTTGCTCAGAGGAAGATAAATGCAGGTCAGAAATTTTCTTTTGGCACCATGTCAATCATGCACAGAGTTGCCATTGAATGGCCTTACTGCACTCAGGATAAGATGCTTCTGTCCCCATGACAAAAGTGAGAAGCATTGTGTTTAATTCCCAAATAGTTTTAAACTTGTGCATGCATGCAGAAGTTGTTGCCTTCTTTAAAAAGTGACCTTTAAGAAAAACACATTTTTAAAAAATCTTTATTTCCTTTTCATTAATAGGGAAAAGTTGCTTGACTAACTTGAAAAGCCTCCAGGAATAAGCTTTTTCTTTTCTTGTGAGTTGGAAAAAAAAAAATACAAAATTATACAGAATAAATAGTAAATATAAATCTAGCAAGAATTCACTGAAAAAATAAACCTGCAGTGTTCTATGTTTTCTTTAACCTATTTTCCCCACAACACTTTATTTTCTTCTAATTTCAGAAAATATATTTTTGTGCAAAGAACTAAACACTATTATTCTTCCTCATGTGTGTATTGTTGCAGTTATTCTGTCTGAGTGTTGCTTTTGGGTAGGGTGGGAAAGGACCTGTATTTGCACTTGGAAGTTCTAGCCACAGCAAACTCATTTTCTCCAAGAATATTTAAACCAGCACAGAAGTTATTTATATACATGTGTATATATATAAAAAAATCAAAGTTAATAAACACAGTAACATATTTACAACTGATTCTCAGTAGCCTTTCCAATTGCCCAGGATTATGAGTTGAAACACCAGTGATGCACAATATTTTATAGCAGCAGCTCAAGAAAAGATTGTCCAAACTTAGGTAAAGCTATCAGATAGGGAAAGTAGCAAAAGGCTTGCTTTTTCTTCATTGAAGATATTGGGTAAACATAATTACATATTTTTCCTTCCACATACGATACAGAATGCACGTGATGAAGTTCTGTGTAAAATACTTAAATATTTGCAGGCTCTGGGTGCACACACAAAAATATTTTATCTTTTTCTTTTTAATTGACATTTAGTATGAAAACATTTCAACTCTTTTCATATTTATTATAAGGGTATTTTAGGTGTAGTTGTAGACTGGTCATGTATGCAGTGCATGTAGTAACCTAACAAATACACTCTAACCATATAAATACAAACACAAGTATTGAGGGTTTTGGGGTATTTTTTTAAGGAATGTAATTAAATGCAGGGTAAAAAAAAAAAAAGAAAAAGTAAAGGTAATGAATATTTTCCCATAGATTGGGTACAGAATGGAATGCCATACACATCTTTTTAAGTTATAAGGAATATTGCAATAAGCAATCTTCCTCCCACATTTCAATCACATAAATCCATGTTTTATTTGGGGTGAGACATATTGCCTGCACACAGTCCCATGGCTTCCCACAGTGATCCCTGAGTTTTTCTTTGCTAGGATTACTGCTGTGCTTAAGTTCTGACTGTTGACATGTAAGGCACTTTTATTTACAATGGTTCCAACTTAAAATAAAATTACGGAAATTCGGCCCCAGCCCAAAATATTATCACCTCATGTTTGTTGTTCCAGGACTTCCAGGTAGTCAGGCTCAGCATGTAAGTTAGCCTTGAGTTCAAAATACTCATTTTTAGTTTGTTCTAGAAAAACCTTTCTTGGCCTGGAGTACATGAGTGTCTCCATTAGCTTCAGCTCTTCATGTGCTCCAGGATAATGAACTTCCATGTCAGGCTGGAGCTGGACAATATTTTTTCTTAGGTACTCTGTGATCCCTAGTTGCTGGAGTTCTCTCTCTTTTTCAAGAATGTTTCTATACAAGCAGCTAGCATCCTGAAAAGACAGAAATTCAGCAGATTGATCTGTAGCCTTATATTTGACATTTGGACCTGTAAGTGGTGAACTGTTCTCTCTTTCCAGGAGACTTCGGCGAAGATATTTGCAATCGTTAGCATCCTTCTCACTTCCCTCCTGCTGTTGTTGCTCAGTGTGCTTGGGGCTGAAGGACGGGCTTCGGTAGACCTGCACCATGGGGGTGACCATACGTTGCTCATAGAGAGTAGCAGCTGGGTGCTCCGTCGTGTGATGTGTTGTCTTATGCCCGTACATGCTGTACTGCAAGCGAACTGGGCTACTGTCCCTCATTTGCTCATCCACCTGCTTCTTTTTGCACCTTCGTCGCCGGTGCAGAACAAGAACAACTATTCCTGCCGCGCAAAATACAATAGTTATAAACACAATGAGCAGTCCTAATATTAGAACAGAAAGTGGGACAGCGTCTGTAAGGGACCGCAGGATGGTATCTGCAGTGTTAGCAGTAGGAGAAGAAGTTGTCACAACTACAAAACTGGCATGAGTTGGTAGGGCGGGGCTGTTTATTAAACCTGGACACAAGACTTCACTGTTCAGGGATTTTAATTCCTTTTTTGCTAGATGCCCCGGAGATTTACAAAAAATACTACCCATCATGGTATTCTTACTCAGTTTTTGTATCCATTTTTGCAACCCAACTGAATCACAGGTGCAGTCCCAAGGGTTGTCTTCAAGTTCAATTTGTACCAGCATATCCAGCTCATCCAAGACATTGCTCACTGGCAAATGAGCAAATTGGTTTGTTTTCAGATTTAATCTTGTGAGGGGAATACCTGAAAAGATATGGGGTGGCAAAGCCTGCAGAAGGTTGTTATTTAAGTAGAGGACTTTCAGTTTTGGCATTGCATTAAATGTCCCTGGCAAAACTTCTTTGATGGCGTTATATTCAAGGTACAAGTACTCAAGGTGCTGAAGGCCAAGGAAGAGATTCTGACTTAACTTGGTAAGATGATTACCATTGAGATATAATTTCTGTAGTCTAGTCAGATTCATAAAGGAACCTTCCTCAAGGATTTCAATGCGATTATTCCCCAGGTGAAGCATTTCCAGGCTGGCGTAGTCCACCAGATCTGATTTCAGTAATGTCTGAATAATGTTTCCAGCCAGAATAAGCTTTTTAGGATTTGGAGGAGGTGGTCCTAAGTCAGACAGACTTTCAATATTTCGCTCCTGGCAGTGCATAAGAACTCCTGAGAGCATATGGCTGGTGCAGTGACAGGGGACGGGGCAAGAGATTCCTGGAAACGTAGTAGGCTTTGAAGTGTGAAGCACTAAACTTGGTTCTTTAGTAGGAGCTTTCAGAAGAGGAATCACCTTAGTCGATAGGTGACTATCACTGATAGAGGTGGTCACAACCAGGGGTAGTGACCCTGAAGGATCTTCAAGTTCATTGACAGGATGAGTGGGACAAAGTGATTCTTTTTTCAACCGGCTTAAGATGCTGCCTTTAATAACTGAAGGACTATTGCATACAACATCACCTATTATTGACTGAGGAGGCATGTTTTCTAGCCATATCTTGAGCTGCAACAAATCGCAGTTACAGACCCATTTATTGTCTTCCAGCTGAAGGTCAAGTATTCTACCAATGTGTTCCAAAAAGCCAACATAGGGCAGTGTCTGTAACTGGTTTCCACGCAGATCTAAATGGGTCAATGGTACAAAACGAAATATGTTTGGAGGAAGATACTCAATGGCATTATCATTCAAAATAAGCACTTTAAGCCTGTTGAGCTTGCTAAAGGCACTTGCTTCAATCACTGTGATGAAATTGTTGTCTGCTTGAAGAAACTCCAAATTTTCCAATCCATTAAACGTATCTTCTTTAAGTGTTTCTAAAGAATTGTGATTGATATGAAGTTGTTTTAGAAGGCTGAGACCATTGAAAGCCCCAGGCTCAATATCTGCAATATTGTTAAAACCAAGATGTAGAGAGATAGCATTAACAAGGCCAGCAAATTCATTCATGTGTAACATACTCAGGCCATTGTTTAACAAATTAAGATGGAAAGGCCGTGATGGTGGGACATTTATTTCTGAAACCATCTTGATGCCTCTTTCGTCACAGTTTATTATAATGGTATCATCCTTTTCTTCACAGGAACACAGACTCTGACAAGATCCTCTGGCTGAAGAAAAAGAGGGCTGTGACTGGAAAGGATCAGATGCAACCACAACTGAGTATAGAATAAAAGTCCAAAGCTTCATCTTGTCCAGTAGATTCTAATAATAAAAAAAAAAAGGAAAAGTAATAGAGTCATGATTTCACAGAGTTTGAGTTGTTTTTTTTTTTTTTTTTCCTAGGGCAAAAGGGAGAAAAAAAACATTCCTAATGCTTGTCATTGAGCTATCCCATCTTTTAAACAATATTATACGACACAAAACAATTGAATTATTTTCTAATATAAGAATTTATATTCAGTTTAATCTACTGAATCAATAAACAGTCATAAGGGAAGATAATCAGGAGTGTGTTGCCTTTATTTATATAGTGTACCGACTTTTAGTGGCCTGCACTAACAAGTTACTGTTCCAAGCAACTTATATAGAAACCAATATAGTATTTTGTATCACTGCTTTGTGTCACCAAATAGCACTGCAAATTTTAAGAGTACCTTGCTAAACTTAACTTAATGTTATCCAGCTACTGATGAGAAGAAATAAGATTTGGTTTAGTTCAACAATATATTGTGAACACAAGCCCATTCAGTCAGGATACAGGGAATTTCCCTTAGGTTCTGCATTATATATGGAAAACAAAAAGTATTTCCTCTGCAATCCTTGTACCCAAAAACTGAAAAGGAAGTAGACAAAATAATTATTTTTCTTCAATTTTAATGCATATATATTGTTGTTTGTAAATATTTAGTTGAAGAGGTACCACAACACATAGTCATGTAATGTTTGCATATAATATACACATAAAAAAATTTGTATACATGATTAAAGAAAAAAGAAGAGAGAACTGACAATGCAGTACATTTCAGAAGAAACAAGTAAGCAAGGAAAAATTTGTTTTGAGATTAACATTAGACTCCTTCTGATTATTATAATCATCAATTATCACAAAAGTTCTGGATTGTATATGGAACTGACTGTGCTTTAAAATTAAAAATTATCACCACTGTCATCCATATGATATGTAACATAATTATCACCTTTCAAGCTGATCTTGAACTTTGCAGTACCTGGTAAATGCATCATTACAATACAACTATGGACTCACAAGCAAAATTTGTATGTTTAAATCAATCATTTATTATTGGTTTCAATTAATTTGTGCTACACTCCATTTAAAGATCTTCTGCTTCTTTTTGTCAAGTATGTCAAATCACTGTTCATAATCTTTAATTAAACATTTACACATATTCTAAAAACAACAAAAAAAATTTTTACAAAAGTCTTAAAATAGAATGCATGATTTATAAATCAGTAACTTTTATGGGCTGAGATATTTACAGTGAAAATTCTCAAGGAATCTATCTAAGCCAGATTCTTGAATAATCCATTTTATAAAGGTAAGTTGATCTCTCCAACTAAGCTATTGAAACACTGAGTACAGAATATCACTACACAACTAGCTGTGTTAATTCCTAAAAGATTAGAACCTTTTATGAGGATCAATTCAGTTACATGCATGAACATTCTTTTCGTGTGGCCACATGATTTGGTATCTCATCAAAACATATTTTAATTATCATATACCTTGGTTTCTGGAGACAACATTTCTCAAGGCTTTCCTTAGAACAGATTGCAAAGATTTACACATGCAAGTATTTAAATGATGTAGCATGAATATTACATACACACACACAGAGGGAACAACAGTTAATCGTGTGCACAGTGAATTATGTTTTTCTCCATTAGCAGCTGATAAGTGGGAGTAGAAGCATGAGTTTAGAAGTTGAAAGTGCAATTCACAGTGTGAGAAAAAGAGTCCCTAAAAATGAGCTTTTATCTTTGTTTCAGTAGAACAAATAATTTTACCGTCTCATATAACAATCCCTGAACTCCAGTTACCTATGTTTAATATTTATGCCTTTAAGACTGTTTTCCCAAGAAGTATTGGATAAGACACAACATGTCAAGGTGTTATTTTGAAGTATGCAGAACAATTCCAGGATCATATTAGGCTAGGAATTTATTTTTGCTTTACATGTATCACTACCCTTCCCAGTGACCCAAGTTAAAAAATATGAGCTCTTGACTCAGATGCCAGCTTCAAACCTACTGTATGACTAATTCAACTTTTTTTCTGTACACTTTTTCTCATCAGAAATTCCAACGTCACTCTGCATCAAATTCAAAATGCACTTATAAAGTCCCTGAGCAAAATTAAATCAAAAGAAAAAATAATAATCTGAAAGGCATGTTGCATTGTAGTGCATTTTGAGAAACTGGGTTATAAAAATGAAAGCCCTCCTCTCAGAGATGAAAGTAACAACATTTGTAACCAATTGGAAAACATTCGCATTTTAATCATCATCATACTTCTGTGAGCAGCACTGCCAGAACTCTCACACACACATATATACACACAATAAAAATTAATAGGAAGGTTGTATTCCTTTTTCCTGGTTTTATTTTCTTTTTTCTAAACACTCAGAGATATGTAATGAAGTTCTCAGTGGGCTACTATTGTAAAATAAAAACTCCTTTCAAGTAATACATTATTAGCTTTTAACTGAAGGAATGCAGAATAAAAAAAAAATTAATTTAAAATTCTTGACAAAGCTGACCTTTTTTTATTCCATGTGGTGAAGTTTTTCAGCAAAATCTACATGGTAACAAGTTTTTTTGTTTCATTTTATCTGCTTTCATCTAAGTCACTGCTGACTGCATACAGTAACTAAGCTCTGTAGGAATTCTAAAAGACTAAAAAATGTCACGGTTTTTTCTATGAGGCAAAGTTGAATAGTTTCAGAAGTAGTCACCTTACAGTAAAGACAACACATGTTTGATAAGCAATAATTTATGTGTTTTTGCAATATTGAAATAGCTTTTTTCATTTGTTAGGCTTTATTTGTTTGTTTGTTTTAATTCAGCTATTTAAAAAATGTATGTTGAAGATTTTCAAAGCCTCAGGTTAAGAATCGGTAATTTCTGAAAGCCTTCAGGATTGTTTAATAAATTCTGAAGGGAATCACAGTCAGATGATGCATTTAAGACCACTCTTGTACTTTAGGAAATAAAAACAAACACCCATTCCTCTCCCCTCAAGGGATTTCAAAACAGCTTTCCCTTAATACACGCATTCTACACAGTTAGCAGTTTGAATAAACATGCCTGGCAAACTATTTAGAATACAGTAAAAATTACGATTTTTTAATATAAAAGTTATACAAAGTCATGCAGAAAAATAAATTCAACTTGTACTGAGAAATTAAATTTTCATGTGCTGGGCTAATTAACTAACTGGAATCTTTCTTACCTGTACAGCAGTAACACTCCCTGAAACACTCAGCAATGCACTGTTGGAGCAGCTGCTTCAATGAAATGTAAATTTTCCCAGTGAAAAATGCACACTTTCTTCCGAGTTTCACTTTGCTGCAAGCTCTAGTAATGCTACAGCTCCATAAAGTTAAAATCCTTGTTCAGAAGACAAAGTACAAAGCATTCAATTGAAAAAAATCTTCCAGGCAGCCGTGCACATCAGACCATCCTGTAAGCAGTTGTCCTTTTTCCTCAATTAAAATTCACAGCATACTTCACAGCTAGGCTGACTTTTCTGCATATAGTTAACTGTTTGCAAGCATTTGGATGCAGTAAATAAACAAGATGCTCAGCAGAGCTTGACTTGATCACTTGGTTTGTCAGATTTTTAGATGCAAGCTGCTCCTGTGTTCTCTCTGTTCTTTCTAGTCTTTCCTGTTAGCTCAGTTTGTTATTAGTCAGATTGCCAGGGGCTGGGAGGTAGGCGTAAATAAAGAGACTTCTTGGCTTTTGACTCAGCCTTTAAGCCCTTCCCCACCAGAGAGCTTTAATCTGCCAATGTCATTTAATACAAGATACAGCTCCACCTTGAGACAGATCAGCTCCTCCTCCTCCTGCAATTCCCTTCACCTCCTTTTTCCCTTATCTAAGTGAAGCTCGGAAAGTAAAATTCAACTAAATATCTTCTAGATTACTTAAAGACTATTAATGACTGATTTTGTAAAGCAATAAACATCCACTACGGCTTTTGCAGTTTGTCCTCTTGGGTAGATTTTGCATTTAGTTTGTGTCTGCAAATGCTTGCTTTAGAAACCTGAAAGCATTCCAGCCCAAATACAATCCCCAAAAACATACCACAAGGGAAACCTTGTCCTCTGGAAGATACGTCTATTACATTGAAGTGAAGAATTATTCAAATATATAAATGAGAGAGTAAAGCTCTCAATCCATTCCACTCAGTGTGACTGGGGTAGAGGTGAGTATTTACAGTTATACACACTTTATTTCTGGAAAAAAAAGAAAACCAAATTGTGGAATATTAATGCTTATGTTTGCACAGTAACTGCCACCAGTCCTTTTTGAAACTGTCCGTCTTGCTCTGTAGGAAGAAGACTGCGTTGATTGTAATTGTCTGTTTTACAGATGTTGGCACAGTGTGTTGGTATCTGTCCATGTGAGATTGTGTTGCATTTGCATGAAACATTGCTTTGATAAAAAATGGTCCGGTTTGCAGGAGGACATTTTTAAAGGCATGCATCATGCTGGAGGTATTATTTTCTTTGTGCTCATAAACAAGTAATTAGCAGATACAGTAGAGCAACAAGAAAATGTTTATTCCATGCAAGGAGAATTTTCTTTATCCCTCTTGCTCTGCAAGGGATGGTTTTATAAGCTGCAACTGCTACTTGCTTGTTCAATCCCACTGTCGCAGAGCCACAAAACCTTTGGGTGAGCAACAATAGGTCTGGTGCTCTGGCGTATTTACCATCTAGAACATACGATTTCTGTTTTGTTCTTGTTGTGTCTTAGATTACTCGACAGACTGTTTACTGCAGCCTCCAACCAGTCAGATTCCAGTTACTGCTTTTGTACAGATAGCTCTCTAGATGGCCTCATTGGCTTTTGAAGGGGTACTGTAATGTACTGTTCCATGTGATGAAGGCTACCAAGACCTTGTCCTATATTTATATCCACATACATAGACATAAATGCTTACAGATAGGCATATGCACACGACTTTTTAGAATGAGTTCCTCAGTACTTAATATTCCTAAGATAAAATATGTAATATAGCAAAATAATAATAATAAAAAAGATGAAACATTCCTAAGGAGCAGAAACAATTTGATTTCCATTAATTTCAAGACATTTCAACTCATTTCAACATATTTGACTGCAAATGCTATTTTTCATGAATCTTACCACTCTATCTAGACTTGCAGACATTTTAAGGCTCAGAAGTTCTCAGCTATCTGTGACCAGTCAAATAAATAATTATATTCTTTATTAATTTTGAATTTATGAATTTTAAGTCATATTACTTCTAATTTTTAGAGAACATTTTACAAGTCTTTACACTTCGCTTGTGGTTGGCTGTTTGAGATGGAGAATATCTGTACAGACATTTACACCAGAAGTGAAAACAACATCATTCTTTGCTTTTCAGGTGACACCCACAAGAATAAAATCTCATCACAAAAATATTTCCAGAAATCAAGGGCTAAAAATAGAACAACATTTCCTAACCATACAGAATTAAATATTTATCAATATTTCTCACTTCAAAAACTTCATATTTACCAGGTTTATAAAAATATGGTTAATGATTGCCTTTCTACAATAATTTTATGAATCATTAAGCAGATTATTGTAAAGAATATGATTCTGCACATGCATCTCATGGACAGTGTTGAACTGACATGGAGTTTGTATCTTATACTTCAAGTATTCGCCTTTATCAATTACTCTGACAATTTTAAATTTTGTGAAGCTTTAGAAATAAAATCTGAAACTGTCAGGGTTACTTACTTCCAAAAAAGGCCTTAAGCATCTATGTCACTCCTCTTTACCCCTTCACAAAGAATTGCATTTCCATAGACCAGAAATGAGACCATACTCATATAACTATATATATTGTGTGGATCTCTCTTTCAGTGAGTTTTTTCTTGTCAATGCATAGATGTAGAGAAATTTCAATTTTCTTAAGCATGTAAGTCTTGTACTAAGACCTTAAAAAAGAATATTCTAATATTATGTACCATATTTTATTGAATTCTGTGTTATATGGTAAGCTGTGCAGGTTTCTTTACCTGTGTAAATCACAGAAGAAACACCTGATCCTGAATTATGTACTTTGTAAAGTTTGATATGACCATAAATTGTCCCTTTAGACTTTCACTTCATATATTGTTTTTTTCTGAGTAATATATTACCTCTGTTCAGGAAAATTATGAACACTATATGGACGCCCATAAGAAGCAGTGTAAAGGTTTCTCACACTCTTTCAGTCAAGACTCACTAACACTACATCTAGATTACTACAAAGAGTGTTTTCTATAAAAAAAGCTGTTAATTTGCAATGTGGAAATTTGGCTTACGATATACAGATTAGCCTTCCAAATGTGAATTTTCATGGAGCTCTACTCATTTATTTGTAATTTCAGTGTTAAAAATAGCAAGAGAAATAAGGATCTGCATTTTCTATTTCAGTGGAAAGAGAAGGCCTCCTCCCCCATCATTCACAACTCATCACCACTTCTCAGAATGCACATGAGGAGCCATTGATTCAACACAAGATGTAGGAACCAAATAACATATCTTTCCTTGCCTGCAAGAAGCTGCTAGTCCTTATCAACAACTCTTCATCTCTATTTCTTGTAACATGAACACTTTGAACTCTGTGTAAGTACTGGTCTGAAAGCTTAAGATACCATACTGGAAGGAAGTGTTTTCCTGGAACAACTAAGTAGCACTTGAATATTCACACCTGAGAGAGCCTGTTGAGAAATTCACAACTCATATATATAGTACACATGAAAATTGCATATGGAAGAACAGTCACCAAGGCTAAGACTTCACTAAGTAGGATCAGAGAACATAGCACATGCACAAACACACATATAAAACAAACAGAAGAACCCTCGTAATGTGACATAGCTATAATTATGGAAGCTACCAATGCCTATGATATTATTTAATTCAGTTACAGAACACTTATTTTCCTCACAGAATTACTACCTGTTTTTATGTGCTGGGATAGATCTTACTTCTGGTCTGAACACACTGTTTGTGTGGCTTTTTGCAGTCATGAACACATTGCAATTGTCAATACAGGTCAGAATGCCCTTCTAAAAGTGATATGCAGGCGTAGTGCTACTCTCCAAGCATTTAGTTTCCTTTTTATATGAACATTATTGAGAGACAATTCTCTGAAAAATCTCTGAAAAATATCTACAATTTATAAGAAAACGATCAAGTTAAAGGAAAAAAATTTTATTACCCTAATGCAGCTTTCAAGTACAATAACTTAGACCCATATATGGATACCTAATATACAAGTATACAAATGATAAAATCATAGAATCATGGAATGATTCATGTTGGAAAGGGCTTTAAAGATCGTCTCTAGTTCCAATCCCCCTGCCATGTGTAGGGTGACCTTTCTACTAGACTGGGTTGATCAAAGCCCTGTCCAATCTGGCACTGAACACTGCCAGTGATGGGGTATCCACAACTTCTCTAAGTGAACTGTGCCAGTGCCTCACCACCCCCACAGCAAAGAAATTCTTTGTAACATCTAATCTAAACCTACCTACCTTCAGTTTAAAGCCATTGCCCTCACAAAAATTATCCCTTCAGATTTCTTGTAGGTCCCCTCCAAGCACTGGAAGGCTGCTAAGGGGTCTCCTCAGAACCTTCTCTTCTACAGGCTGAACAGCCCCAAGTCCCTCAGCTTCTCATCACAGGAGAGGTGCTCCAGCCCTGTGATCATCTTTGTGGCTCTCCTCTAGACTCACTCCATAAGGTCCACATTATTATGCTGGGAACCCCAAAGGTATATGAAGTGCCCCAAATCCTTCTCCTCAGGGCTGCTCTCAATACATTCTCCATCCAGCCTGTATTTTTGCTTTGGATTGCCCTGACCTATATGCAGAATCTTGTTGAACTTCATGAGGTTTGCATTGGCCCAGCTCTCAAGCCCACTAGAAGGAATCCCTTCCCTTCAGTGTGTCGACCACATCACAAAACTTGGTGTCATTGGCAAACTTGCTGACAGTACACTAATGAGAGTAATCTATGTCACCAACAAAGATGTGAAACAACATTGGTCCCAATACTGACCCCTGAGGGACACCACGCAACAATAGTCTCCACTTAGACATCAAGCCGATGTCACTGCCCTTCCCTCATCCAAAAATACTGTAACCCTATCATAGAAGGTCACCAAATTTTTCAGGTATAATTTCACCTTAGTAAAACCATGTTGGCTGTAACCAGTCACCTTGTCCTTTTCCATGTACCTAAGCATAAATTCCATGAGGATCTGCCCCATGATTTGTTGAACACAGAGTTGAGACTGATCGACCTGTTGTTTACTGGGCCTTCTTCTGCATACATATATAGCACTGTATTATGCATTGGTAATCACCATCATGCAAAAATCACATTCTCTGAAAGAAATTTTTTCAAAGAAAAGTATATTGAAGAACTTATTAATAAAGAACATATTAATGTTCTTTATATTTCATTTTTCACATTAAAAAGTCATGTGGTCCTTTAAATGTTTTCTACTTGAGTGAAAAATGCATTTTATCCTACTAACTTAACACAAGTCTTTCAAAATAGTGGATTCTTATTCATTTATTAAAATATGCAATGGAAACAGAGGAAACCAAAATATTTTCTCTTGCATACTTCTCCTTTAGTAATCCTGTTTTATTTTACTAATCAGCTTATTGTAAATGTGTAAGCATTTTTGTAATTTGCACCGTTTCCTTCCTCAGTATCTGTGCAATAGGTCTTGAATCTTCTCTGTAT